TCTAGCTCCTGGCCTTAAGCAGTCCTCCTGTGTTAGCTTCTCAAATTGCTGGAATTTTGGGTATGAGCCACCATGCCTGGCCTGGGCTAGTCCTGATTTCTCTAGAGTTCTCTTTACTTTGTGCTAGCCAATCTCTCATTCTGCTGTTCCCCTGTTACAATGAATAATTCTCTGGATTAAATTTTACCACGTTAAACTTTTAAGTGGTTTATGTCTCCTGATTGGACTCTGACTAATATGCTCGGAAGGGTCCCAGGAGATAAACTCACACAGATGGGATTTGGGCATAGGTTTGATTTTCCAAGGGACAGTGCTGAGCTCCTTGCCAATGGGAAATGGGATGCTGGTGATTTCCGGTAAGTGACCTCACAGTGACTCAAGCTACCACTTACTGTTGATTGTGATGAAATGCCAACTGAGACACATGCCTTGGGAGCTCAGTGGTTGCTGCACTTGACCGCTATGAAGACTGGTGTGGGAAGGGTGCTTTTGGATGCACTTAAGCCGGGGTCCCCAACCCCTGAGCCATGGAGCTGTAAGGAGCCACACAACAGGAGGTGAGTGGTATCGAGTGAGGGAAGCTTCATCTGTATTTACAGCCACTCCACTTTGCTCACATTCCTGCCTGAGCTCCACCTTCTCTCAGGTCAGCAGCAGCATTAGATTCTCACAGGAGCACGCACCCTGTTGTGAACCGTGCATGTGAGGGATCTAGGTTGTGCTTTTGTCCCTATGAGAATCTAATGCCTAAGCTGTCACGTTCTATGCTCAGATGGGACCATCTAGTCGCAGGAAAACAAGCTTAACATGCCCACTGATTCTACATTATGGTGAGTTCTATAATTACTTTTTATCTATTACAATTTAATAAAGGAAATAAAGTACCTAATAAAAGTAACATACTTGAATCTTTTGGCCCAGGTCTTGCCTCTCAACAGCCTCTGAAACCTCTCCAGGCCCCGAACTTTCTCCAATCGGCCTCTACAGACCAAGCTCATGACTCACAATGGTCTATTTAGGCCCATACCCTACCTCACAGCAGTCTCCGCGGATGAGGCTGCTGCCTCACAACAGCCTCCACTGGCCCAGCTCCATCATTACAACGGCCTCTTTAGACCCAGCTCCTGCCTCCCAGTCTTCTCTTCAGGCCCAGAACTTTCTGAAGTTGACCTCACCAGACCCAGCACCTGCCTCTCATTGCCCTCCGAAGGGCCAGCTTTTGCCTCATGGCCACCTTCCAAGACCCAGCTCCTGTTTTAGAGTGGCCTCATGAGGCCCATCTTCTGACTCCCGGCAGCCTGTACAGGCCCAGCTCCTGCCTTACAATGGCCTCTTTAGTCCGAGCTCCTGCCTCTTTGCAGGAGGCCCAACAGGCCTCAAGTCCAGGCCACAAAATCCAGGCCCAAAATGTCCACAAGTCAGCATCTGAAGGCCTCGCTCCTGCCTTTCGTTGGCCTCTCCAGGCCCAGCTGCTGCCCCCAGGTGACTTCTACATGCTGTGCTTTTACTTCTGGCTATGCCTGGAGGCCCAGATCCTGCCTCTCAGTGGCCTCTCCAGCTGCCAGACGCCCTCAAGTCAGCCTCTCCAGGCTGAGCTCCTCCTGCCTGCCAGTGGCCTCGTTAGGCCCGGCTCATTCGTCACGGGGAACGGCCTTTCCAAGCCCAGCCTGTGCCTTTCGCCGGCCTCTCC